ACCAAGGCCCACCACGTGGAGGTGACTACACACGGGTCTCATTATAATTTATTGTAAATCAGTACTGTTTCATATATTTATCACATAAGTCACCACTTGTTTTCAATTTAAGTGATTTGTTGGAAAGAGAAAAGATGTTGATGAAATAAAGCATAACTATTTGATCAGTCTAATGACTAATTTAGAATATTGCATAAATATTCTTGTTTGACAAGTTAATAGTAAAGGACTAAATTGTTTTCCAAATTATAGATTCAAAGAGAAATTCTGAATAGTAATATTATTTTTATACTAGTGTTTAATGTATATGCAAAAATATAACGTATATCACGGTAATTGTTAAAGTATATCTTGTACGATACAGGTCATGGAAATTGTATTCAAATAATCACCATGAAGTATTAACCCAACACCAAAGAAACCAAACCATGTAACTTACCAATCGTTGAAGTCAGAATTGTAGATAGAGGTTTGATTCCAGACAAATGATTAATTAAAATTTTTAAATAACACTTAGAAACATTACAGAAGAGAATTTATTATTTACTTGTTACAAATAAATTATTAGATATATTTGAACAATTAGAATATTCAGAAATATTATTTAAAAACTCACTACTAAATTTTGGTCGATGTGCACACGACGGAAGTTCAATTAGTAATGAGCTTCCATATCATTGAAGGTTAATTTAATGTTTCGATTGTCAATGACCCGGTAATGTTGACAATTTTTTTTCAAATTTCTAAAATTTGTTCGATGTGCATGCGACAGAAATATAATTATTAATGATTTTCCGCTCAAGGTTAATATATATTTTGGTCGTCGGTGATTCAGGACGGTTGATAATTTTTTTCAAACATCTAAAATTTGGTGAATGTGCCCACGACAAAAATTCAATTCGTAATGAGCGCTTGTCTGCGTATCGATTGACATTAATCTGATGTTTTGGTCGTTAATGGTGCGATACAGATAATAAAAATTTCTTAAAAATGTATTAGTGACGCGATTACTACAAAAAATTAATTAAAAATTTTATATAGTACTTAGAAATGTTATAGAAGTGAATTTATTGTTTATTTGTTACAAATAAATTATTAGAAATGTTGGATAATATTTAAACAATTAGAATATTCAGAAATATTATTTAAAAACTCACTCGTAAATTTTGGTCGATGTGCACACGACGGAAGTTCAATTGGTAATGAGCCTCCGTACTACTGAAGGTTAATTTAATGTTTCGATTGTCAGTAACCTGGAAGTATTGACAATTTTTTTCAAACTTCTAAAATTTGGTCGATGTGCACACGACAGAAATTTAATTGTTAATGATTCTCCGCTCAAGGTTAATATATATTTCGGTCGTCGGGACAGTTGATAATTTTTTTCAAACATCTAAAATTAGGTCGATGTGTCCACGACAAAAATTCAATTCGTAACGAGCTCTTGTCTGCGTATCGATTGACATTAATCTGATCTTTCGGTCGTTAATAATGCGATACAGATAATAAAAATTTCTTAAAAATGTATTAGTGACGCGATTATTACAAAAAATGGATTAAAAATTTTAAATAGTATTTAGAAATGTTATAGAAGTGAATTTATTGTTTATTTGTTACAAATAAATTATTAGAAATATTGGATAATATTTAAACATTTAGAATATGCAGAAATATTATTTAAAAACTCACTCCTAAATTTTGGTCGATGTGCACACGACGGAAGTACAATTGCTAATGAGCCTCCGTATCACTGAAGGTTAATTTAATATTTCGATTGTCAGTGACCCGGAAGTATTGACAAATTTTTTTCAAATTTCTAAAATTTGGTCGATGTGCACACGACGGAAGTTTTATTGGTAATGGTTCTCCGCTCAAGGTTAATATATTTCGGTCGTCGGTGATTCAGGACAGTTGATAATTTTTTTCAAACTTCTAAAATTTGGTCGATGTGTCCACGACAAAAATTCAATTCGTAATGAGCGCTTGTCTGCGTATCGATTGACATTAATCTGATGTTTTGGTCGTTAATGGTGCGATACAGATAATAAAAATTTCTTAGAAATGTATTAGTGACATGATTACTACAAAAAATTAATTAAAAATTTTAAATAGTACTTAGAAATGTTATAGAAGAGAATTTATTGTTCAACTGTTACAAATAAATTATTAGAAATATTAGATAATGTTTAAACAAGTAGAATATTCAGAAATATTATTTAAAAACTCACTTATAAATTTTGGTCGATGTGCACACGACGGAAGTTCAATTGATAATGAACCTCCGTACCGCTGAAAGTTAATCTAATGTTCCAGTCGTCAATGACCCGGAACTGTTGATAATTTTTTTTTAGTATTTCGAAACTGCTTTTCTATTATACTAATCAATAGTTTTTAGATTTCCATCGCAAGGTTACACTTTCATAAATATGTTACATGTCAAATGTAATAATTTATTAATTTTTTTGTCTATAACTAAATTTACATTTTCGTGATATTAATTTTTAAGTTATAACTGCATTGATGTATATTAAATAGAAATTTATGTAGAAGAAAGTTATGTAGTCAAAAATTGTGTTAAGCAGTGATCGTCGCTTCAGAATAACATATAAGTGCAACATATAAAAATTTTCGCTCGTTTGTTGTTTCAGACAGCAAAAAAATATATGTAACTATCTTTTTCGTTATTGTAAATAAAATAATTTAATTATAAATGTATTATTGAAACTATGAAATAATGCTTGGGAATTCAATCACTGATTCAATTGTTATAAGTTAATAGTTAAAATTGTTAATGTACAAAAATATCATTGAAATGCATTATTTTACAGTTTGAATAATTCGTTTGAAACAATTAAATTATTTCTACAATATTTCTAGACATTATTTAATAATTTTTAACTTTTATATTACGATTAAACAGTTAAATTAATCATTTCATTCAATAAGTCAGAGTCATTTCTCTGAAGTACGTTGTTAAAGATTCTTAGTTAATATTATTAGTTAAAAATTTTAAATAACACTTAGAAACATTACAGAGGAGAATTCATTGTTTAATTGTTACAAATAAATTATTAGAAATATTAGATGATGTTTAAACAAATAGAATATTCAGAAATATTATTTAAAATTTCACTTCGAAAGTTTAATCGATGTGCACACGGTGAAAGTTCAACTTATTATGACCATTTTGTTGCTCAACCTTCAGGTAAAGTCAGTGATGCACAGTGATAACCTTTGTCAAAAACACTTTTTCTATTCAGTTGTCAGTAATTTTACATGGAGTGCAAAACTTGACTGAATCGGTACGACAGAATGTGTCACGAAAATGATAAGGAGTTCCTTTGACCCCTCCCCCCCTCCCCCCTCTCCCCTATGAAAAAATACATTGCGTGCGATATCTATTCATATACCTCGACTGTGTCTGTGGTTTTCATTTTTATTATCATAAAATGTTTATATAGCTTTTATTTATCGATTCTCTCGTATCAATAGTAATTAGAATTTTTGCTTACAGATGGCGATGAACGCGACTTGGACGAAGAAGAAATGGCTCCTTGGGTTTCCTGTATTCCTGGTAATGTCCGGCTTTCAGCGACCGCCGTTGCTACCGCGACGTCGTGGTTTTAGCAGTAGTGTCATTCGTGTAAAAAGTAGCTCGTGTAAAAATGCTCCAAACACGGAGATTTCCGACAATGCCGGATGACGCATTGCCACCGACGACCGTCATTACGTAGCATTACGGTACATACCAGTCGAAAATTCCCGCGCAAATTGGACTCGGGTGTGTATCTATTTTATTCAGTCACTATTGACAATTCAACTTTTGTTGTTCCCAACTACTACAATCTTTCGAAAGCGAACGTATATAAATTTGAAATTCATTAGTAAGGCCCTGTAGACATTTCTCAGAATACGCGTTACTGTTTTAATTTTTATCAATTCATCGTTGAATTTATTTTCGCGAATAACGCACAATATGTTTTTAGGAAGCAAAAAATATTTGAACACATGCAAATAAACGTACTGTAGAAGTCTCTAAGTAATTACCGATTGACAATTTGTTCGAATACAGCCCGGTGAATGGAACTTACTTGTGCACGCTGTTTTCCTGGTAGCGAGAATCTCTGTAAGAGTCTGCCCCAACAGCATCGACAATGATATTCCGATATTGTCCTCTTCTTTCATTTCCTTTATTGCTTTCATGTACCGTATCTCGTATTACATCTTCAAAGTATCCTTTGCAGTAAATTGCATTTCGTAAAATCTATTTTGGTATTTGGAGGTATTAAATATCAATTTATGGGCAAGCAAGGCGTGATTCGTTTTCAATTCATTCAATATAGATATATTTATGTATCTTTGTGTGTGTTCTGCAGCGGATATAAGAAAATAGTGGTGTTAGCTAGCAGTTTAACTAGGGAATCAATTGATAGACTGGTTTCATACGTTTTTCCTGGATACTCTATCAGATTTACGATTGCATGGCTTTTATTTTACTATATTATCTATAGTAGTTATCTTTATTGTTCAAAATTTTTTATTTGATATTTTGGTCACTTCAGAAACTTTATTAACGACGATCAATGTATTAAATGAACTTACAACGCGTTATTAAATATGTACACAGAGGATGATGCAAATCTGATCCTGTTAACTGTGTTTGTTTAACATCTGAATCTAGATTCTAGATCATCGATCGTAATGCGTTGAAGCAATTTCTCTGCAGAAAATACGTGACAATACAGTCTACAAACAAATTTGAAATATAAATGAAGTTTTGATCTTCCATAAATGGCTTTATGTGACATAATAGTAGTAATAACCGTTCCTTCTTGAAATACTTGTGGCGGAAAACTCGATTTTCTTTGCTGCCAAAGTCGTTCAATTAATGCAAACTTGTACTTGGTGAGAAATGTGACGTTTCCTAATGCGATGAACGGATGGAGTTGAGGATGACTTAATCTTAATATCGGGAAGAGGAGATGTTATTCGAGATTAAATTCATGATATCAGATATACTTGTACGTAATAATATTTATTTGTCTCCATTTTGTACATTTTACACTTACAATGTTCGTTTTATTTCATTTCGTTAATTGCTTTTACAATTTTATGTTACATATCCAAATCTCTTAAATTAATCTTTAGTTTTGTTATCGTTTATTCATTTATTTATTATCATCATTGTTTGAGCGCAGCTTTCTCAATGATCTTTATTAATTTATCAATACATTTAGCACATTCTTCCACGTTTTTATGATCGATGTCGTATACCTAACGTTCGGGGAAAGAACAGCAAGATATATAATTGTTATTATTTGGGAGAAAGTATATGGCGAGACAGAAGTTCATACCTGTTTAGCAAACTGTGATTTTAGTTTCTTGTCTTGGAATATCATTTTTTCTCCTATTCTCAGATTCTTGAACGTTTTCACTCGCAAAGGGCCAAACTTTCTTCGAAACTCTTTCACATTTCCATTGCAAATGTTCTCGAGATTCTGAATTTTCGCGTGTATCCTACGTTGCCTTTCTCCCAACGAATCCACCTTCCTCGTAAACTTCAATATGTCCTTGTAACCATGGTAATAATCGCTTCTCATTTTCATCGTCAATTCTTCCTTTATCTAAATTCATTAAAAAATTATTTCTCCACATTTATTACTTATCGTTTACATTGCAATTAAGGTTTTAACTAAACGTTGATAAAATACAATAGAACATTGTCAACATTAGGTTAATGTATAAAAAAAATTATTATACTTGTTTAATACTTACATGTATATATTATATATATATATATATATATATATATATATAAAATACACTACCAATAAACATTAATAAACGAAGCGATAATAGAATATAACAGAGGATTCCAAATAATAATTTAGAATTAAAGAATTATGACTACTCGTTCGAGTTCATTTACAATAAACTGAGTATTAATAAACTGTGATAGAAAATTCTTAACATTCGTATAGAAATAGGAAGTGTAATTACTTGTTCCATTTCGTTTAGTACTTCAATCTTGTACGATAGCGGCAAGTCAGCGTGTTTACTGAAAATCCTGTCGATCCGCGCCTGATTCGATTCCATCCACGAGTCGATCTTTTTGTCGATGCTTTCGTTGCCGTAATCAATAAGAAACGATTCCTCTTGATACACATTTTCGGCAACTCGCGATAGGACCTCGCCGCTCCAGTATAAAACGCGATCTTTTTCCTCCAGTAAATCGATCCATGAATGAGGCATACGTCCCACTGTTTGCCCCATTGCTGTTTCTGCGCGAGCATGTAACTGCCAAAATTCATATCACGGCCAAATGATCTATCGGCTCGGTGTCCTCTGTCTAAAAGTCAGGTAAATACTCACAGTAGCTTATACCGGTGATCCATTACGCGTCGGATTTGCTTTGTTTTCGTGCGAAAGTTTAACCGAAATTTCAGCGACGAGAGCGTGTTGTTTGCTTTCGTTTGACAACGTTGTCGTTGAAGTTTCGTTCCTTTTAATGTTTTTAGCGCCGGATAGACAGGCGCCGATAATATCCTTCATGAAAGTGTTTGAAGCGTTTATTACGGAAAGTCTTTATGCCTACGTACATTGTACGTGTTGTGTAAAAAACACATTGAAATTTCAATAGCATTGTAAAGTCAACGTTATATGTTATAATTATATTTAGTATACGTTGTGTTATAATTATAGTTAATAAAAATATAATGTATAGCACGAACAACAATTTTGAGCACATAATAGTACAGGGAGACGTGATTTCATTGAATATCGAAGTTTATTAATATAATGGATTTCTTTTCTATTTAAATATTATTACGATCTCTGTGGAATGTATATTTACTTGTATCAAATAACTTGTAACTTTATACATGTACATTTTCACATTTTGTTTTATTAATATAGCCATGATATTGCTAATGAAATTTCAAAGTGTTTTCTAGAACACGAATATATTCATAAAATGTATGCGCGATTGCCAATAAAATTTCATACGAATATAACCGTGTCCATCGTTTTAATGTATTCTGCGAATTTTTAACGAACGATCATCGCGAAACTCTATAATATTCGCGAGTATTGAAAAGTTTATATCAATGAATTCAAGCAATACAGCAAATATTTCTAATTTTACGGCGAACAAATTGCTTTTTATGAAAGTTTTATTTCTACCATTCATTCGTTGAAAACGGTTATATTTTTAATTGTTTTCTTATACGTATGTTGTCGAATCTAAAGTTTGTTTTATTAAAATATTTGCCAATCCTTTCCTAAAATATTAAATTCTTGTAAAAATTAAATTAATTTTGTTAAATTTATTTCTGATAGGATGAAGATGCTTACAAGTTTCGTATTAATTAATGTTAAATATCCTAATTAAACTGCTTAATTAATGATAATGATAATGATAATGATAATGATAATGATAATGATAATGATAATGTCTAATATTGGTAGCGGCGCTTGGTATAGATAGAAACTATCAATAGGGGTATGCGGGTATCCGATGATCTGATGTATATTATCTATGTATATTCTAGTTTATGTAAAACACTAATATTAAACTAAAATTCGGTTACACTAATCCTGTAACATTAATTTTAGTATAATATTTTGAGTAATTCCAATATGTTGAATTTAAATTTATAGTTATAGTGTATATTCATATACTAAATTTATAGTTATAGTATACTCATATACTAAAATTGTTAGTATCTAATATAATATTATATTATTATTAATATATTAGTATATTACTATACTAATTTAAATTTAACTCATTGTAGTATATTATTTTAATACTGGTGACATCAACAACATTCCTAAATATTCCTTATTCAAATTTTCTCAAATCATCAATTTATAAACATTTAGTTGTCATCCACTATGTTCACAAAATTCGAATTTAATCTCAATTAATTCAATCCTCTCTAATTTATATTAAAATTAAACCAGATTTGATCTCTAAATCAAATTCTATTCGAATTTCATTCCACATAGATATATAGTTTCGAACATCATTGTTTCATGAAGCGTTGTCCTACGCCGTTGACGATTTTGTCATTTAAAACGAGTAGACCATGTTTCAAAAAATATCGACATGTTGTTTTTATTTTCCATTGATAGACGAAGCTTTCAAAATTGACAGAAATTATTTAACAGAATTAATAGAATTAATAGAAGTTATTTAACAGAATAGACAGAAAATTGAATAAAGATTCCAAAATTAGCAGAAATCTAAGCTGACAACTTTTTAAATTCTGTGGAATCTAACGACACTTTTTAAATAAAACTCGCAGATAAAACATTGCGACAGTTTTAAAAATTTGTAGGTTTTGCGGTGCATCAACATTTATTTTAAATTCGTGGAATTTTTAAAAATTCATAGGTTTTATAATATTTTTAAAATTTCACAACTTTTATGAAATGCAGCATTTATTTCAAATTTATAAGTTTTCTAGTGTGTTGCGATATTTCTTTAAATTCATAGAACACTATAATAATTATTTTTAATTCGTAGCTTTCTTAGAATAATACCCGACTTAGAGAGAGGAGAATTGTTTGAGAATTATAATAATTTATTATTCTTTGATCAATCCTATTTTAATCGAAATTCGAAATTTCCTCTACTCTTTAATTCACTCTAAATTCGAAACTCATAGTTCGTTGTCGAATAAGTATATCAGGGAGTCTCGTTCGATATTAAACTTTTAGATCGTTTTAAACGTTATTTAATAATTTCAAGACTGTTATTATCATTTCATAAACGTTCAACTGTCATGCACGCTATATCCACAAAATTCCAGTTTAATCCAATCTCCTCTTCTCCAATTTATGTTGAAGTCAAACCAAAACGTGTGAATTCGAATGAAATTCCCGTCGTATTACGTCCTAGTTGACGATTTCTCCTTTCGGAACGGTTAACATAGACGATGTTAAAAAAAAAAAAAAAAAAAGAAAAAGAAAAGAAAAGCATCCGACGTGTTTTCTTCCTTCCTCTTTCGACCATCGTCTCCATCTTTCTTTTCTCGCAGCGACGTCGCTGCTCCTCCATTGTTTTCCCCCCCCTGTGTAAGCAAATAACGGAGACGCGCGACAATGGGTGGAAACTTGGCCAAGCTGTCACAAAAGGTCGATTCTTCGCGGTGTGTCCACGAGGATTACATTGAGCGTGATTTCACGGTATCAGACGGCGGTAAAAAGGAACTGGAGCGGACGTCCGGCCGTCTCGAAAGTCCGCGAAATTCAATCGGCGCGCGCGTAGCTCGTGTCGGGCAGGGGTGTCAATTCAAAGCAACGTAATCTCCGTTCAGCCCAGGCAATAATCGGCTTATTGATTTCGATTCGAGGCTAAAACACCGTCCACAACAACGGCGACGCTCTAGTCGACGTGAGCTGCTTTTTCCTTCTCTCTCTCTCTCTCTCTCTCTCTCTCTCTCTCTCTCTCTCTATCTCTCTTTTTTTCCCGCGTTCTCTGTCCTTTTTAATTGACAATCCAAGCCTGCCGAGCATCGCGAGCAAGTGCGAGGTTTTTCACATTTATTTTTAGCGGCGGACGATTCCGAAGCGCGGTATTTAAAAGCGCGGCGTATATGGAAATGAATGTAATTTCATTTTCCTAAATAGAAACGGACCTGTTTTCCGTTTGGCACGGCTGGGAGGTTTTTAATTGGAAACGTTTCTTTATTGCCGCCGCGTTATCGTTGTCGTGGATGTTAGATTTAATGGATTTATCGATCGACACGTTTTATTAGTAAACGGCGACGTTTCTATTTCTATAGAATATTTCAGTAATAATAAATATTTCAATATTTCGACGGTTCAAATGAGAATAACGCGTTAATTAGTTAGGATTTAAAGTGATCCTTCCTCCTCTTCCCGCACGCGAATTTCGAACGCGTTTTTGTGCCACTTTTGGTTTTGTTTCTTTCTTTTTTTTTTTTTTTCGTTCATACAAAACCGAACGCACGAACAGCGATCGCTTTTATTGCATTTAATTGCCACGACGATTAATTTACGCAGCGAATATTCAAATTTCGATGATGTTTTACGCTCGATGTTTCGCGCGACGTGAAATATATTCGCTTTGCCGCTTATACCGGTCGACGTATCGGCGGATTTTGCAATAGGTAGAAACCGCGCCGAGTGGTTTTTATGAATTTCCCTGAATGTCTGCCAATGTTTTTTCACGCGTTAAATTATGACGTTTCAAGGAAGTCGCGGCTGTTCCAGCAACACGCCAAGTGCAATTAATAATTTAGATTCGTTTGCACGAAGAGCAATTTATTTACCCAAAGCGTTTCCATTTGTATTTTATTTAATAATCATTTAAAGATTAAAGATGTGGAACTGCGTTGAACTGGCTGTCAGTTAGTTGCTGTTAGACAGTTTGTTCTTGAAATTTTCTGCCTTCTTCGCCCTTCGTAGAGATTGAAACGAAGAATAATTTGTTCATACAGAGATGCAAATTCAAGGATTTTCAGGAAGAAGAAAGAAACAATGCTTCGAATAATTATCGGATCACAGTTTTGGTTAAATAGTTGCAACAAATAGCTTTGATTTTATTATTGACTTTATTTACGAAAGCTTTTGCTCTTTTCTTTACTAGACTCTTGGAAGGCACTTGGTTGTCCGTGTGGTTTCACTTTGGGTTTCGAATTTCGAATCCCATGTAACGTTCCATTCGCGGTCTGTCTCGAAATACAAATTCAAACCTACAAGCCACAGAAACGGCGTCCATTTTAGAAAGTTAATTCCAGGTGGAAAGAATCTCTCGTTGATTGATTTGAAATGTTTCAGTTTTATTGTATTTTGTTTCGATTTTTTGGAATTTATACCCGGTTACACTTGCCGCGTTATAAATTGAAAATTAATATTCTAAATATCATTCTTTACTTTGATAGATAAAACTTTTAGACAATCAAAGATTCAGCAATCTAATCTAGAGATCTGACAATTTAAAAAAAAAAGAAAAATTGAAAAAAAATTCTTCGTCGAGTACTATATTTTTTTTGTAATTCGTAGGTTTTGTGAAATACTTTGTAACATTCATTTTAAATTCGTAAATTCTATGAAAGACTATTTTTTAAATTTATAGAAAATTCGTAGATTTTGTGCAACGCTATTTAAATTCTTTGCCTAAAATCGCTATGATATTTTTTGTAGATTGTAATATCATGACATTTTCTATTTAAATCCAGTAGATTCAATAGAAAACTGTGTGACATTTTGTTAAATCCACAGGCTTACCGATATATCGTAACATTTGTTTCATGCTC